AAACAGGAGGAGACTAGGTCCCCACATGAATGTACCACTCTGCAGGTTTTGGACAACGGTGAATAAACATTACTGTTGTCCAATGACTGGATATTCCCATGGATAAAAACACGCTCACAACCGTGAGCTATTCAAACCTTGTTTAAATATGCCTTTATAGAACAAACGCTGGGCACTGATTAGAAGCTTTTTGTCTCTTGGGACAGTGTTGATTTAAGGTTTCTCAGGTTATCCATCCATCTACTGTCTGTACCCATTTATACTTGCAGGGTTGTGGGTCCAGTATAATCCATGTCACTCTTTAAAGTGATTGCTTGAGTATGTTTGGAACTCAATGGAGTTTGCTTCCACCTAAATAACTAAGAAAAAAAAAAGTGAAAGAAGCTAATGGAACCCTAAGGTGTAAGAAAATGGAAGAATGGTATTTATTATGGCACCAGTGTAATTTATAAATGTTTTGAGCAGACATCAAAAGAGAAATTTGAGATAATGAATTTTTACCTTTTTCATTTTCATAAAAAAATTCTGGACCAGTCAAATCCCACCACATAGTTCTGCAAAGGAACTTAGGAACTACATTAACTTTATCCATCTCTTAGAAAAAACACCCAAAAAACTAAAACTATTGGCATGATTGAGATGATTGTATAGGAGATATATTCTGCATCTTAATTTCAGGTGACAGAGTTAATGCATTTTTCAAATATGAGTGGGTTTTCTGCAATTACATCCCATCAATCTGTTTCAATCCAGTATAATAAAAGGTGTTTCTGTTGCTCCATAATTGTGCTATGTACTGTATTAACACAGCTCTTGATAGAGGGTTGGTTCCGCCAGCCACTTACCTTGATGAAACAACACTTTAGTATTTACTTAACTGCAAAACAGCATATAAAAACATGCATTTATTCCATGTACTGTATATAATAATAATAAAAAGTTAACACACTGAGTTAAGTATAATTTATCTACAAACCCACAATCCAGTGAAGCATACATTTTTTTTTGACTGTATTAATTTACTTTCTGAATGAACAAATATGCATTCTGTATTTAATTCCAGAATGAAAGCATTTCTGAAAGCTTTATCCTGTTTGCCCCACAAGTTTCCCACATCATTTCCATTTCCAACAGCAGATCTGATCATGGGCCTGTGGGCATCCTAGGGGCCTGAAAGGGATGATCCATTATTGTAAATTTAGGAAAAAATACAACATGACAGCAGTGAAATCCTAAGTGACTTATTTACATGAAACATGGTTACGTACTCTGCGTTCTCCCAGACTGTGATGCACACAGCCAATGAAATTCTTTCCACCCAAATTGTAGCAACTCTGAACCCAATGGGCGAGGAAACTCTCCATTTGTCGTGTCGACAGCATGAGCAGAGAAACCCACAATGGGAAAACAATGCCTAAAGAGGCAATCGCATTAGAGCTCATGAGTCATTCATGCATGTTCATTTTGAATTCACGGTAATACAGAGCATAAGGAAGCAGCTCTGCTCCACAGAAAGCACCTACCACAACAAGCCTTTTGTTTTCTAACACTTGTTTGCATGAAACATCGCCAAGATGGTGTCACAAGATTATGCAAATACTTAAAGTAGTTAGTTTTATTAACGTCATTAATTTGTAACATATTGTCTTTATACTGTGTGCACAAATATTATTTAAGTTCCATTTTTACAGATTGTTTCTGTTCAACACCTAATAAATTGCTTTCAATTAATCCAAAAATATTGATAAAACTTAAACAAAAATAAATAAGAGAGAGAAAAAAATGAGGTTTTGGCTTTGAGCTGGCAATGTTAAGTAGTCATGTGTTTCTAAAGCTTAATCGCTATTGTACAGAGTAATTGACTGTTGAAATATTGTCACTTGCAATCTCCTGTCATTGTCCAAGTATTTTTATTTTATTTTTTTCATATGGCAAAACTCTATTTAAAAACAATCAGAGTGCGTTTGGATGGTACAGTTCACATTGTTTTCTGGGGTTTAGAGAATTTGAAGTTTATCTGTTTTTTTGGCAGAGTATAAATACAAACATGTGAACATTATGAATTTTATATTTCCAGGAGAGATGTGGATGTGATTCCTCTATTGCAGAACATCAGTTGCAGTCGTGCACAACAAATTGTCTAGTTGTGATTAGGGATTTGTAAAATAAACATGCATTCACTACACTTATATAGCTGCACAGCACCTACAGATTGTAGCAGTTGTTGATTTTAATTAAGAGAGTCTGAAAAAAAAACTATCCCTCAACATAAACAAGTAGATCTGCAATATGTGCTGCATCCAAAATGTTGTCCTATTTTGTCAACAGTATGGATGTGACAAAAAATTTGATTCATATAAAGATAGAAACAGGAAATAATGTGGAATGTTTCATTTTGAGGGTTCTATCTTTTTCAATCATTTAAACTGGGATATAGTGGTCCCATTTCTGAAAAACCTGTTTGGAGCCACTAGGCTTCCTGTCTGTCTGTGTCATGTGACCTGCTTGCCCAATCAGTCAGCAGTCTATTGACAGTGACCTGCAGAAACTCCAGTTTGGAGAAAATACTTGTCACAGGGAAGAAATGGAAGAATACTAGACACTGCAGCATCTGGGACATCATTGCTGGGTAAGTAAAGTGCTACAGTGTGGCAATTTTACTGCACCATGAAAAAAAAATGACATTGATTTAATTAGTTTTAATTCAGAATTAGACTGGGACTCATATTGGGTAATCACTAGGATTGTTTTTTTCTGGAAAAACTGATGAGAACATCCCTAATTTCCTGGTTTCTATACCACACAGAAATGAAACAAATGTAAATGTAACTTTATATTGCACTGACTGTAACATATAGGTCTGTATTTCTTTTTTGTAGCATATATCGTTTTAAAGGTCATCAATTGTTAAGCATCATGATGCATTGCATGATCTGTATTTTTATAGAAATTAAAATTCACTCAGCCTCACTGAGATGAATGAGTTTTTGGAAAAGGTTTAAATAATTCAAAACCACTTGGAAGAAATAATGCAGGGTGTATTTTCTTGTTCTGTTCCACTGAGTCAATGTTGTTCTACTCATCACTTGTGTTATTCTTTGCCTTCTTTTTCGTTTACATTTTTCACCGTTGTAAAACCAGACGCTCATCCTCAGGAAATCCTTTTTGCTCAGAGAGAAGCTCTCCATCCATAAATACAAACCAAAAAAATCGAGTTACTGCTCCCAAATTACTAAAAGCAATTTGAGTAGAAAATCAAGGCTGAAAGTACATCATCATTTCTAACTGCACGAACAAAGAGAGCTGCTGAAGAACAGCAAAATCCCTGTCAGCACTGACCTCACACTCCCAAAACCACAGCTCATGAGTCGGAGCTGCTGTGGGGTGTTTTTGGAGAGTCAACCCATAGAGTCATCGCCTGCTTTAAGGCCAGAGGACGGAATGTCTCCCTCTCTGACCAGTGAGGCCAAAGTAGGTCAGCCGTCCAAACCTCGCCTGGGAGGATAGCCATCATCAAATACTAATCAGTGCTCGTCCAAGGGTGCGCTCCATTTCTGTGCCTGCAGGGTCTTGGAGGAGCCCCAACAATTCCCCTAGCCCTGCTTTGCTTCGTAACAGTTACAGCCAAAAGCAGAAGGACAAAGTTTACTGTCAAAGCTACTGAAATCTGGAGCCCGATCAAAGTATAATACGCACCATAGACGCTGAGATATCAGCGTGCCAACCCTGCAAACACACAGACACAAACAACACACACTGGGTTAGCTGCCAGGCCTGATGGACTTTATTTAGACCAGGCTTTTTGACATCTGATTGAATACTCCTTAATCCCACTTAAGATTGACCCCAAAATCCTCTTGACAATGAAATAAAACCGGCTACATTTGTTTTTTCTTCTTCTTTTACAACCTGTATATTTTTTGTTAAAGGTCTGCTGTGAAAGGGCCTTTAGAGGACACTCAAACACAGTCTTCCCGGTTTATAGAGCTGCTACCGTTTGCCCTTTATTTTTGTTACAGCTGTCAGCTCTGTGGTGACAATGAAGTATTTCACCTCCTTTTGCAACTTAAACACAGTTTCTGCAGATCTTACCATCTAAATTAACCCAAACACAAATAACCTGGTTGAATTTGAAAGATTGTTCTTATCCCGACAGAAGACAAAGTGACTGTCTATCTGTTTTAACAGTTTGTGCCACACTTTCACACATCTCAGGATGTCCTACAAGGCCCTGTCATAGGACCTACTTTCCTTACAATTTGCATGAATAATAGAGGCTGAATGCTAATGATGTTATATTGTATTCTATGTATTTGGATGCTGATAGTCCTGGTATTTGGTCTGGTGTAACCAACATCTTTGCTTTACCTCAAACTGGAGCGAACTGCAGGCAAATTCAAGTCTAAATTGTTTCCAAAGGTAAAAAAATAAATAAATAAATAAATAAATAGCTGAGCTTATCCCTGCTATTGAATGTAGACAGGGTTCCCTTGCTAAAATATTTTCTTTGAGTCTATTTTTGATGGCAATAATTCTTGCTTTGTCCCTAATGTTACGGCACAGCTTGTTGCAGTCACCTTTTATCTTACGTTGACAAAGTAGATCTTATTTACACAGATGTCTCTGTTCACCTATTGCAGATATTTGAACTGTTTAGGAAGGATCATCATTTATTACACTACAGCATAGAAGAACCTGGTTTTGTTTTGCATTTTGTCCTTCATTTGTCCAGTAATTTTATTGTATATTGTATATATATAATTTTTTTTAAGGCTGTGTTCCACTCATTACTGATATAATGCAAGTTCCAAGTCTCTGCACTGAGTTTTTTTTTTCCTTCTTGAAAAGACAGAAATCAATCCTAAGCTGTTCGGATACAATGACATTCATAAAAGTGATATCTCAGTGCCTCAAAGAGTAAACACTAATATCACAGTCCTTTTAAATGAGGTTTAGCTTTTAATTTGACTTTAGATGAAATGTGTAAGTTGTGTCACTCTGCCACAACAGCTAGTCTCATCTCAGAATTTATTATAGCAACTCCTATGATTGTCAGGCGGCGACTCGTCCTGCTCGTTATCAAATTAGACTGAAGGCCTCCTTCAGGGGAAAATAAATTGATTTTTTTTTTCTTTCCTTTAAGTAAATCAGTGATCACTGCAAAACCCCCGAAGACTCAGCAATAATCAAATTACTCTCAGCTGATGTGAAGTAGGGCTGATAATCAGCAAAGAAGGGGCGGAGGGAGGGAGTTGGCTTGAGGGCCTCCCAGAAACCACTCACAGATATTCCCATTGAAGCAAACACATCAAGAAAAAATACTTTTCTGCATTGATTAAAAATAAATCTGTATTACCTCAGTTTCTTACATACAAGTATTCTCTGATGAAATCTTGGAATATGTTTCTAGGACTACTTGTGTTATAATGCATGCTTTTTTTCATCACGAGTACACAACATCTAAACATGGGCAAAGTAGGTCAGTGCAGAGAACCAACATTTGATTGTATTCATATACTGACTTATGTTCATATTCAATCAATTTTAATCAGACAAAAATGTCAAATTCTACTTATTTCTTTTAGAAATAGTAGTACTAAGAATCTTCCGACATACTTTTTGAAAACGTCTGGAAACTAAGAAACACTTGAGGATAATTCCACACTTAGTTTTTTTTTTTTTTTTTTTCACTGCCAAAGTTGAAAATATATGTCACAAGAACTCTGCAGATACTGTGTGCAGTATCCAACATTATCAAAATAAAAATAAAAGTTACATTTTAATAAACACTATTAATCTGATTGGTTGTTTATGCAGCTAAAACATAACCAAAAGACAAAACTACATTAATCGTAGAGCTTTTACTCATGAGGATATGCGCACATTTTTAGATGCCTGAAGTCCACTTCTGACTAAAATTAACAATTTAACAAAATCTGCTTTGCTCATTTCTATTTTGCTTCTTTTTCCCTATCTGTGTCTTGAAGCCAAGTCGGTTGGCCTCGAGACTCTGGCTTTGGGGGGTTTTTGGTGGCATACTTCGTAATGTTGAAGCTTCTAACAGATGGCAACGTCAGTTTTTATTTGTTGAGAAAAGGTTACAAAAGCTTCAACAAAAATAGACTAGACCATCTGTTCAGTGTCTCAACAGCAAATAGTACAGAAAATAAAGGACCTTATTGACATTTTTTTTCCCCCACCAAAACATACTGTTTTCCTCATACACCAGTTAACACAGAAGTCCACAGATTAACATGATAACACCAGAAATAGATGCACTTTAATAAATAATTAAGTGTAAAAATGTAACTATTTTGAAGACATCTAACGGATTCCTATAGTGAATGCATGATTTTGATTGACTCCTAAAGTTTTAGAGGAGCATTGCACATGTGTTTAACTTCCCTAACAGTTTCAAAAAGAGACAGTAAGTGACAACTTATACAAAGAGGTGTCACATCACAAATTACAATGTTTGGGGTATCAACCAGTCAGGTTGACTGTTTATCACTGTTTTGTTTCTGGTCTTCATGAGTTTATAAGACTGAAGAGTTCATGGTAGATAGAACACAACAGATGGTTCAACTAGTGACAAGCCTGGTAGCTCGTTTACCTTCAGAAAATATTAAGAAAATGATTAAACATCCATTCTAATTTTAATCTGTAACTTAAGTTTAGATATTTCTCAGCTTTTTATGCACAATATTGCTACAACTCGTGCAGAACTTCAGCTTGAAAGGGAAAAAAAAACAAAAAAAAAAAACAAAGAAAACACTTGGAAGCCCAGTCCCTTGGACAAGAAGCAACCCAAGTCAATGATTGTAACACAATGTGTCACCATTAGCCTGACATAAGACTTGTGATAGCTGTAAGCTTTTCCTTCTGAGATGTTCAAAGCTATCAACAAGAGGAGAAAATATCTCTAACAGTCTTTCTTGTACTTCCTTCAGAAGTCCAGTCTACTCTTCCCTTTTTGTTTTTTTGGGGGGGCAAAACTGGCTTCTCTGTTGCACCAAAACACTTTCCCCCACTCTGTGTGCAGACACCCACCTGTTGCACATCTTGGCAAAACTGTACACTGGTCACACTGGTGGCAAGATGGACCTGGCATTTGCTGTAAACTTAAATGCCTTGAAGCGTTCTACTATGTCACTTGAACTTCTTAAAGACCAAAAAGCAAACAAAAAATAAACTATTCTACTGATGTTAGGTAAAACTCTAATCAGTTTGTGTAAAGGATGTGTGGACTCAGCAGAGATTTTACCTTCCCTTTTCTTTATACTAGACCTGTGCCAATTCTGGATGGAGGAAAGGTCAGCCCTGATCCTCTTTGCAGACCTTCTTGTTCATTCTAGTCTGATCCTGTCCTGTTCGTTGGACTAGCCAAACCACACTTTGATGGACAGACACCAGACAGACTTATTGCAGTGTTAAAGATAACCAGCAGCTCATCAAGTCGAGTTGTACTTCTTGAATTGCTGCAGAAAGTAGTACAGTCTCTCCTTGTACAGTGTCTGTGTATGAGGACAATGCCAGCTTCTGAGACAGGATGGTTAATGTAAACCGTTGTAGCATTTGCAACTCTTGACAATCTTGAGTTACAGTCAACCATCATGAACTACAAAATTAAGTTGCATCATTTCTAGCAACAAAAATCTGTTTAATTTGAAGTGACATAGCACTATAATGATAATATCAACTAAATATGAGTACTTTTTTGGAGTCCATCTTTTTTGCTCATCTACATTCCATTTAAGTGCTTGAGAAGTTTCTGGAGTGTTTTTAGCTTGTTAAGCTACTCAACTCTGACTTGTGCATCATCCAGGCATTAAAAAGGCCCCTAAACCCAGTGAATGAAGCATTGTGCCAACACAGAACAGCCAACTTAGGAAAGGGCCAGCTTTAAATTGGATCTTTAGGCTCTTTGTCACCAGCAGCCTGTCACAAAGACACAATTAGCTTTAAATGCATTTACAAAACATGCCAACTATAACACATTTTTTATATATATTTTTTTTTTTTCACTGACAAGGTGATTCCTGCAGAGCTATTAGCTAAAAACTTGGCATGTAATGGACGATCAAATGAAGGATGATGCATCTCTTAGGTTCTGTGTCAGGTGTTTGATTGATTTTTCTTTTCTTTCTCAAAGACATGCCTTTTAGATGCTGTTCATCTGCTGGATATGGCCAGCTTGTCCTCCATTTGTCCTGATTTCCATTTATTAAGGACATAGCACATCTTGCCAAGATGTGCCCAGTTTTCAGTTAATAGCGCTTTGCCAGTCACTGCGTTGGTTGTAATGTTACTTTCTTATTACCTGGCTTACATATAAAATTTGTAATTGGTTCTTTGTGTAGCGTAGTTGAATCTGCGTTGTGTCTTGTGGGAATAACAGCCAGACAACAGCTGATCTTGACGGCACTTTTAATATTCCTGCATTAAACAGCAGGAAAGAAAAAGTCAAAAACAGGCTCTTTCTCTGCACGGTGCTTCACAGCGCCTTCTCCCACACGGGATTCGAACAGAAAGAGCGCGCGTCGCACGTGTGCAACTTAATGAATAACAAAGCCCAAAGATGAGCATAATAATTTTAAACAGTACATGAATAACAAAAAAATAAAAATTAGACAAAATATTCAAACCAAAAGCAATGAAACATCACATACCTGCATTAAACAGCAGAAAAAGAAAAGTCAAAAACAGGCTCTTTCTCTGCACGGTGCTTCACAGCGCCTGTTTAACAAAGTTTGAATGCCCCAAAGCATATTATTTTACAAGAACATATCACTTATACTTAAAATACAGCGGGAAAACCTTTCATGAACTATAATGGTATGACCCGTTACTTTTTCTTCTTAAACCCCGAACTGACACTCAAAACAATATATGAACTCAATATATTCAACAGTAGAGATAACAATTCACATTTTCATTCACAACACACCACATTTAAATAAAAATAATAATTTTGAAACAGGAAGTTACCCGCTGTTTTGCAATGGATCTGCCGTCTTTTCAAAGTAAAAGCTGCCAGTGCTCATATGAGTTCCCACTGGAATAGCTTATCACTTGACAATCTAGTGTAACAACATCACACTGCTACATTTGCGCATGTAAACTTCTCAGAAAGGCTCCAGCTAACATGAATACATCTGGTATGAAATTAAGTCTACAACTACATTTGTTTCTGTTTTTGTTTGGTTCTGAAAATTACTTTGCTGATTTTATCCTAAAAAACTAACCATTGTGTGTTTTCATGCTATTTTCCTGCTGTGTTTGCAGACATGCTGTTGGAAGTGGAACAAATAGCTGTTTTAATGGGATTATTTTCAACAATTCCTTTCAACTTCTTTCCTCACTATGTGATTGGATTGTCATTCAATTCAGATTGGTCCAGGCAACACTCACTTTTGCCAACAAATCTGTGTATATATATATATATATATATATATATATATATATATATATATATATATATATATATATATATATATATATATATATATATATATATATGTTTTTATNCGGGCCGGATCCGGCCCGCGGGCCGTAGCCTGGGGACCCCCGTTTTAATGTAACAAAGTTCACCAACCTGGATCTGCTGAGCAGCTCAGCAAGAAGATCAGAACTAGAGAATAAATAAAATACATATTTATTATAAACTAAAGCTGAACAAGTTGAACACAATGAAACTGTAATCCAGACTCCATATTTATCTTATTAGCTCTGTTTTTATGCTAACTGGTGGTAAATGACTTGTTTAGCTCCATCAAGTCCAGAGAACCAAAAAGCTTCAACAACATTCAGTCTTTCACCCATTGAGCTACTGAATCGTAGCCTCAGCTGCCCTGGTGACAGAGGTGAGGCTGACTGATGCTACTGGACCCTCTGACCTGAACCAGCAGGCAGAGCAGGTATCGAACCAGCAACCCACTGATTATTGGATGAACCTTCATTACACAATCAGATCTATTTCATACTCAGACTCATCCAGCCCCCCAGTAATTCTATCATTAAATCCGTCCAGTAAAATGTCTCCAGTGTCTCTCAGACAGAGAGAAATGCTGATCCAGCAGAAAGAGACTAAAACTTGTCTACTTACAGATCAGACAGTGAGATGTTCCTTCCATTGTTCTTCTCAGTGATCTGACCTGACGATGTTTCACTGAAGCTGAGAACGGCTGGCTGAGCCGCCTACTTCCTGCTGCTGGTCCGTCTGCTGCAGAGAGGAGGGGCTGCAGGGCAGGAAGGCTGTTAATCAGGGATGTATAGTTAGAGTTAGGAAAGTTCAAGGTATTCTGACGATCATGGAGGAAATTTTACTATTTTTACTAAAAAAAAAACAAACAAAAAAAAACATTTTCACAGCTCAAAGAGGAAGACTGTGTAGAAGACCCCCGGATGTGATGACGAAGGCCGATGTTAGAGAAGAGATTGAAGATGCCATCGGAAGGAAAAGGCGCCCCCTAATGGTAGATGTTTAGGAATTTGTAAATAATTAACTTAAGCCAAAGAACTGCTTTTACTGACAGGTTATTTCTCCTGTAACATTTTTTCTCATGTTATATGTTGAATGTATTTGTGTTGCCTGAGCATATTAATGAGAAACACGTCATTTATTACAAACACAGGGAAAATCCCTGTATGCACTGAATGTTGGAATAAAGTCATGATACTCTAAAGCAGGGGAGTCCAAGGTGGGTCCTGGAGGCCCAGCATCCATCCATCCATCCATCCATCCATCCATCCATCCATCCATCCATCCATCCATCCTCTTTACACCATTGTCCCTCAGTGGGGTCGGAAGGGTTGGTGGTGCCTCTCCAGCTAACGTTCCAGGTGAGAGGCGGGGTCACCTGGGTCACCTGGGTAACCTGGGTCACCTGGGTAACCTGGACAGGTCGCTAGTCTGTCACAGGCCCAGCATCCTCCATGTTTTAGTCTCCCTGGTTTAGCGCACCTGCATCAAATGATGCTCATTAGAGGCCTAAGAGGAACTTTGACCTGCTGAGGAGGTTGTTACTGCCAGCAGGGAGAGAACTAGAACATGCAGGATGCCGGGCCTCCAGGGCCCACTTTGGGCTCCCATGCTCTAAAGGGTCAGATTTACAAATTATGGTACTGCTGACCAGGATACTGGCCCAGTTAAAGTGGATATATTATTCTTTTAAGTCCTTCCTTTTGTCATGTAAATCATTCTTTTATGGTTTATGGTTTGGACTACATTAAACTTATTTTCTCTGCCTAGACAAGTCCAAAGTCTGGCCCGGGGGCCAAATGCGGCCCGTGGTCACAGTTCATCCAGCCCGCAGCCTCTGTCATAAAATCAATAATGTCTGTAATAACCATTGGACAGCAGTAATGTTACCTGCATAGGGCAGAGCTTACACACTAAATGCTACACACTAAATGCTGTTCCTCATTTAAACACTAGAGGGCAGCAGCCTGTGTGACTCTTTACCCTCAATTTTCTAAAATGGCGACGATCAACAAAAAAAGGAAAGTTGACTGCGAGGGCCGACGGTTCAAGGATGGGTGGAAATTAGACTATTTCTTCAGCTGTGTCTGCCTCATTTGTAAAGAGACAGTGTCTGTTTTTAAAGAGTTCAGTGTGAAGCGACATTACCAAACGAGACATGCCGACATATACGACATGGTCCATAGAGCTTTGGAGCGTGACGTCACTGATGTAGACGGACGGGTATCAGCGCCATCTTTGGGGTCCATAAACATAACCAACAAAAACAACAGTCTCGCAGATTTTTTTAATCCAACTTACTTAAAATAATTTAGCTATGGTACAAACTTGCTGCGTTATCGGGTGTTATAATTTCTAATTTTGTTCTTCTTAAATCTAACGGCATTTCTCCCATTTCTGTTTCTAAGGCTGCTGTTGGTGTGGTTTTAAATGCTCCAGTTCATAATCTTAGTGTCTGATGTTGGATAATGTCTAATTTAGCCAGATGTGTTTTAGCTGCTGAACCGTAAACTAGACAACCAAAGTCCATGTTGGATCTTATCATTCCTGTATAAATCTGTTTTAATGATTGTCTATCTGCTCCACAGTCACACACAGCCAAACATCTCAAAATATTTTAGATTTTCTGAATATTTATATTCATTTTAACTTTTCATCAAACCATAGCCCTAAATCGCTGCCTCTGTCCTCAGCCTGTTCCCGTTGCAGTGGATTTCCTCCTGCATTATTTTCCTCCAACACATTATTCCACTGAACGAACCACGTACAGCTCCCTTTATATCCCCCATCTTCCCATTTCTGACGCTGGATCTTCAATATCCTCAAGCTTTGAAATAGCAAACAGCTACAAACCGCGTGTTAGCTGTAGTGGCTAAGTTTTGGCTACAGTCCGCTGTCGCCTTGATATCAGCAGGAAAATGAAAAAACTGAGCACCGGATGGTACCGACTAATTACTGGAGACCACGGCACACAACAGAACTCAGTTGTTGTACCAGTAGCTCACAGATATTTTAACTTTTGATTCTTTTTCATGGTACAGGTTTTGCAGCTTTGGCTGAAAACAAAAGGAGCAAAAGGGACCTGGAAACGATCTACGTGGCATAAATTCAAACGGAAATACGTCACCACTATCCTGTTGCTAAAAACTGAGCTGCGCTGAAGTAAATAAAAGAGAGAAGTTCAAATATATTCTGAGAGTGAAACTCCTTCTTGAAGGTGAAAATATATCATGTTTCTAAAGAAAATAAAAACGGAAGTATAGGAAATAGCGCCCCTTTCGCTTCCGGAGTGCAATGGACCCATTTCCAAATAAGGTATGAGACTGACAGTGGTCCGTCCCCGCCACTTTTTGTTTGCTGCAGCAGGTCCTTCTCAGACTTGTCCACTAGCATCCCCATAGCCTCTGCACGTAAACCGGAAGTCCCTGACGCTCAAATTGCGTGCGGTCTGAACGCAGCATTAAAAGGACTGAGGATAGTCGGAGTTGCTCACAGTTTCTGACTTCGTAGGACGTTTCAGTTGATCTTTCCGTCTGGGAAGTTGGGATTTCCCAGTTTTTCATTACCACTGGAACGCATCATAAACTCCACCTTCACCTCCATCCTTTCTGCTTCTGCAAGGATCAGCAGCTGTGCGTTTTCACTTTCTCTGGGTTTCATTCATTTATTCTAGTTCCACGCTCTTCTAACTGCCTCTTGTGTTTAAGTTAAACTTTCTAAGTGGAAACGTGAATGAATCTAAATTTCGGACGAAGAGACCGAACCAACCAGGAGATGGATTCTTCTCTGACTGCGTCTCTGCTGCTGCTGTCTGTGGTCTTCATGCAGTTTGTCTCTGCAGCAGGTGAGATTCAGCTGTAGTTAAACTTTACTTACAGTAATGTCTAATTCAGCCCTCAGGAGCCGATATCCTTTTAGTCATTTCCCTGATTTAACCCCCTGAATGATGGTTCATTAGCAGAACTTCTACATGCTGAATCGGTGTTCTGACGATCTGGGCTACCCCGTCAGATTTTCCTACCGTAGCTCATCCAGATGGCCAATTCTGTCTGTCGATGCTACCTTTCGAAAACGGCTGACGTCACGTTTATGTAGCGTAATTGAATCTGCGTTGTGTCTTGTGGGAATAACAGCCAAACAACAGCTGATCTTGAAGGCACCTTTAATATCCCTGCATTAAACAGCAGAAAAAGAAAAGTCAAAAACAGGCTCTTTCTCCGCACGGTGCTTCACAGCGCCTTCTCCCACATGGGATTCAAACAGAAAGAGCGCGACGCGCGTGTGCAACTTAATGAATAACAAAACCCAAAGATGAGCATAATAATTTTAAACAGTACATGAATAACAAAAAAAATAAGAATTAGACAAAATATTCAAACCAAAAGCAATGAAACATCACATACCTGCATTAAACAGCAGAAAAAGAAAAGTCAAAAACAGGCTCTTTCTCTGCACGGTGCTTCACAGCGCCTGTTTAACAAAGTTTGAATGCCCCAAAGCACATTATTTTACAAAAACATAATACTTATACTTAAAATACACTTATTATACCCAGAAAACAAAACTACATACCTTCTCCCACGCGGGATTCAAACAGAAAGAGCGCGACGGAGATCGTGGGAAAACCTTTCATGAACTATAGTGGAATGCCCCGTTAATTGTTCTTCTTAAACCCCAAACTGAAACTCAAAACAACAATATATGAACTCAATATGTTTAACAGTAGAGATAACAATTTACATTTTCTTTATAACACACCAAATTTAAATAAAAATAATAATTTTGAAACAGGAAGTTACCCGCTGTTTACAATGGATCTGCCGTCTTTTCAAAATAAAAGCTGGTACTATTCAGATGAGTTCCTACTGGAATAGCGTTGCACTTGGCAATCTAGTGTAATAACATCACACTGCTACATTCACCCCCACTGTTTTACACTAGATTGCGGGCATCTTACCCAAATAACAAAAGAAAACAACAAGCGTACAAAGATAATCTTACAATTTTTTATTTATTTATTTAGTTTTTTACAAATCTGACCATGACAATACACGTAACCCAGGTATACCCTCCATACAAAACCAAAATGGTCGACCAGCAAAAAGCTATTCGATAAAGAATTAGGAGAGATGAGGGGTAGCTAAGTCCCCACCTCACCATAGAAGACATGCCACTTACACATCTATCATAGAGTACACCCAAAATCACCCCAATGTGTCCAGTGCAATGGACAACCTAAATAAAATCATGACCAGACCCCATTATAATAAATCCCAATAAAAGAAAGAAGAAAAACAATAAATAACACAAAATAAATGGCCCTATGACAAAATCTTAACTCTTTGTGTGGACATTGTTTGAATCAACCTGTTAACAGGTTTGATAAGTCTTCCCAGTCTCGTCCGTATCCCGTCCCCTGGAACAACCGAAAGAGTCCTTGAAGGTACAACAGTAGCGACTGAGTCACATCCAGACACATGTGAGCCACTAACGGCCTTCGTTGAACCTATGGTGTCACTTGAGGGTAAACCTGCGCTGACAGAGTTTGAAAGCTGGTCACCATTGTGATCCTCTGAGTGTGAGCTCTCTGATCTATGATCTGCCCCATCCAAGATGCTCTGATGGTCCCCACAGGCAGACATGATCCCTGTACCCTGAACGCTACCATCATTCACTCCAATAGCTTCAGAGTCACTAGCTACTGTAGCTTCACCTGTGGTCATCACCACACTGGACCCTGGAAGGGAGGAAACCCAGTGAGCTGTTCGAGCATCACTGTCACGCTCACCTGGACCCGCATCATCTGACGACCCACTTTCTGAAACTGTGTTTGAAAAAGAACCCTGAGACACCGAGTCATCCCATGATGGCAAAGGCAAAAAGTTTACAGGCATGATCAGATTCCTATGAACTGTCCTAACCCGTCCTGTGACAGGATGACAGATAACATAAGTGTTCAGTTCACTGTTCTTATGAACCACAATGTAAACCGTGTCCTTCCAACGGTCAGCCAATTTCCGTTTCCCCCGCTCCCCCTTGTTAGCCATCAAAACTCTGTCTCCCTTCTCCAAAGAGTGTCCCTTAACCTTTCGGTTATACACCTCAGCTTGTCTCAACTGTTGCTTCTCGGCGTGCTGCTGAGCCAAAGTCATTGCTTCTCTGAGGTCCGTGCCCAATGACTGAACATACTTGTCCATGTCAGCAGTCTCGCCATCTAAGAGAACACTTCCAAACATCACATCAACAGGTAACCTAGGAGTTCGCCCGAACATTAAAAAGAAAGGCGGAAAACCTGTTGTTTCGTGTACCGTGCAATTATAGGCAAATGTCAGTGTGTTCAGCATCTGGGGCCATTTTTCCTTTGCCCGAGGAGACAATGCACGGATCATGCTACCCAGAGTGCGGTTCAGACGTTCAGCCTGGCCATTTCCCGCAGGATGGTATGGGGTTGTATGGCTCTTACGAACACCGGCCATCTGGAGTAGCTCGGCAATGAGAGAACTTTCGAAATTAGCCCCTCTGTCAGAGTGAATACAAGCTGGAAACCCGTATATGGAAAAAAAATTATTCCATAACACACGAGCCACTGATTTGGCAGACTGATTTGGACATGGGTAAGCACATGCAAGCCTGGTAAAATGGTCTGTCATTGCAACAGACCCTGATAAAGTGCAGGTTATACTCATGTAATCCGAGAGGAGAGGAGAAAGCAGTGTATTTCTTATCATCTTCATGAAGTGGGACATTGTAATATCCCGAAGTCAAGTCCATTGAGCTAAAGAATGCGTTACCTCCCAAAGCTGCAAGAATGTCAGCTTGATGTGGTAACGGGTGCGCATCTTTGACTGTACGGGCGTTCAACCACCTGAAGTCCGTACACAACCTCAAGTCACCATTTTTCTTCCAGCAAAGAACAAGTGGAGAAGCATACTCACTGCTCGACTTTCTGATGATTTCACGTTCTTCCATGTCATCCAAAGTTTCTCTCAACTTTTGGTAGTGAGCAGGAGAAAGCCTACGATAAGGCAGACGAAAAGGGCGTTCATCAGTAAGTCTGATGCGATGACAGAATTCGGCAGCCTTGCCGCAGTCCAAGTGATGTCTTGAGAACACATCTTCATACTTTACAACCAAATCAGTCAGCTTCTCTCTCCAATGTTCGGAAACTTCACAGTCACCGACAGACAGATCATGTAGCCCCAAATCCGCTAATATGCCAGGTCCACCTGTTGTCTTAACACTGCAACACGACTCAGCTGTAAGGCTGCCATGAGAGCTGTTCACTCTACCCACATTCTGATGTACCCTCACCTCCATCCCACCATCAAAATCCTCCAAGGCAATGCATGGATACACATCAGCCACCTTAGAGTTCCTTCTCAACACAACCGGCGACATAGTAGGATTGATGATCTTCACAGGAAGCCACCCTCCTCCCCAAAGTGGAGTAACTACTCTGCCAACCATCACACTACGGTGTACGCAGCGTGAAGTGCTTGGTTCAACTACAACAGTACTCCCCACAGAGAGTTCAGTCTTAGGTGGGAGGCGGCCCCACACCACATGCTCACTCATAGGCTCAAGAGTCACGGCCTTCTTCAGTTTGACAGTCCCAACTTTCTCTGGGATTTCCTCCCCCCTCCACCTTTCAAGATTGGCCAAAAATCTGACAAACTGACTATTTGCATCCAAACAGGTAGAGTCAGGTCTACTCAGTATTCGCCAATAGGCCTCATCAGACTTAAACTGTTTGATGAGCGGTTTCATCACATTGGTGCCAACAATGAGCTCATCAGCCTGACCTTCAACCACCAAGACTGGGACGACATAGTCAAACCCAAACAGCTTAAGTTTCAGTTCACAGATGCTCACCGGTACAGTCTGTTTCCCACTACACCCAACAAGAACAATGTTAGTGGGAGGGATTACATCTCCCACCATCACTCC